CCCACCACAACGCCTGGCCATTTTTTGGTTGCAGCCATCATTGTTGTTTAGCAGGCCCGGGCTGGATTCGAACCCACCACCTTGGGTGTATATGGCTGGCACCTTAGCCACTTGAAGACAGGCGCCAAGCCAGTACTTCATTTTCTAATGGGCTGATTGGCAAACTCAAAGTCCTTCTAAGCAGGACTCTCAGTGTGTGAGTGGCCCCTCACTGTGATTCTGAGGGACCCTCCCAATTCTAGAACCAAACCACAGGGGTACAGGGCAAGATGAGGGCCACAGCTCTGCTCCAGGCTGGCCTGTGATTTAACTAACTAGCCAGTGCTGGACAGGTTGGGTCAGAGTCCCTCAGAAGTGCCTTAGGGGTAGAATCTAGAAGGAGCAGGGAGACCCTAGCTTACCCCACTTTCACCCTAGCAACTACACTTCTGCTTACTCTAACAGGGTTTGGGTTGACTTTTTTTGAGGAAGAGCTTCGGGAGCCCTCTACTACCTGCTAATACCCTCCCCTCACCCAGTCCTCCTGACTGGCATTTCTCAGACCTCACTTCACCTGAGAAAAAGAAAGATGGCTCGCGGAGGCTTAGCCTTGTGGCCCTCAGGGACACTGTGTTCCAAGTATTGTCCAAGGACCTCCAGTAGCTCTGGATGCAGCTTCTCAGCCTCATCGAAGATGAACAGGGTCTGGGGGCAGAGCTGTTGTGTCTCCTGGATCTGGCCTGTCAGCTGCTCCTGCACAAGATATAGGGAGTTGTTGGGAACTGGTCCATCCCCAGCCTTGAAGATGTCGCTTCCCAGAGCATGAGCAACAGATTACTTGGGGCTGGGCCTCACCCACCCCCCCGCCCAACTGTCACATCCAAACCTCTGGGGACAGGGCTAGGCCATTGCACCTAACAAGCTTTCCAGGTGATTCTCTTGCACTTTGAGGTCTGAAAGTCAAATAAGCTGGAGGTAGCCTAGGAAGAGGGAGGCCTTTGCCCTTGGGAAAAGGCACCAGCTCCAGCCTTGCTCTCCTCTCCAGGATTAAGTCCCATCACAGAACTAAGTGCCAATTCATCTGCCCCAGGGGGCGTCAGGCTTTAATCCGGGATGATGGACAGAGGAGAGGCTCATGTGCCTAGCAGCAGCCACAATTGTCCACTGGCTGGACTGAGATCTCAAGGGAGAAAGCCTGTGGCAGGCCTATCTGGGGGAACTAACTCATGGGGGCTGCCACAGGAAGTTCTGCTGAGTTCCCCACGTGGGAAACTAAACTGTCAAAACTGTCAG